AGGATGCCCAAAATTTGGCTTAGAGAAGAAGCTATCAAATTTCTAGAGAGAAGGTAGAGGTTTTGTGTTTAGAGTGTTGGTGGATGAAATGAAAGGATGATGCTAGGTTAGCTTGGAGCACAAACTTTAGGTAGAAAGTCTCTTTTGCCCTTACTAAAGTTGGAAGAATAAGGAGACATGGGAACAACTCTTAAGGCATAGGGTACAACTCTTTGACTTGGATTTGACTAGTCAATTTCTAGTCCTCCGACTATTGAATTTTCAGGATTTTAGGAATAAATTACCAAATAAGCTACTTAAATAGATTTTGGATTTACGGGGTGTCACAGTACCTACGGAGGCAACTAAGGTAGAGAAATTCGTTACTATGTTCAACTTTGAGGCTAGGAAGGCCTTAACCGTAAGCAAACCAAGGACCCTCAACGAAGCCTATACCAGCGCCGCCAATCTCTACCGGATCCAACTGTTGCAACAGGGAACCCAAGAACAAGTGAAGAGGAGGAATGACGGAAGTGGATGCCCTAAGTTCAAAAGAGCAAAGAGTGATTCAAACGTAAGGACAAATCATTGGCAAGCCCATGTCCCGCCTAGAGGAAACAACGAGGGCAATGGGAGGTATTTCCTGTGTAAGAGATGTGGCAAGGATCACCCAGGGAAGGATTTCCAAGGAAACTCCATGTTGTGCTACAATTGTGGGGAGAAAGGCCATTGGTCCTTTGAGTGTAACCAACCCGCACGTACAAGACCACCGGCCACAGGGCAACAGGGAAATATGAACAACCGAGGGGGCTATGGAGCACCCGGGAAAGTGTTCATCATGAGCCATACTCAAGCCAAAGACGAAGCCGGAATCGGAGCCGAAATCGAGAACGACACCGAAGCCGTAGCCATAGGAAATGAGGACCTTATAGGTAACCCTCTTTAACCCATCCTCGTTACCGTTGAGCTTTTACCTTGTACAATTCCTAGAGTCTCCTTGTTTTGAGTATAGTTAATTAGTTAAATCCGATTGGTTTAATTCCTTATTTCGTCCTTCGAGCTAATTAGAATAATTGTTCGTGCCCCTTATGGATTATGAGACCTCCGTGCTTCGAGCTAATTAGAATAATTGTTCGTGCCCCTTATGGATTATGAGACCTTGTAAATAATACTTGGTAAATGTGATACCCCGAAATCCAAATCCAATTAACGGATTAATTAAGTAATTAATCCTATTTCAATTAGTGAATTAATTCCTAAAATCCTGAAAATTCAATACTTGGGGACTAATAATTGGCTAGTCAACCCCAAAGTCAAAGTTGTACCTTGAGCTTTGTAAGGATTTCCCTTGTTCCTTACATTTCCTAATGTTAATAAGGGTATTCTTGACCTTTCACATGGTGTTATTATTGTAACCTAACCTAGTAGACCATCTTCATTCTATCCCTACACTTTTCTAAAAATCTAGCTCCACCCTCTCTCTAAAAGGTGAGTAGCTTTTCTTCCAAGCCAAGTTGGAACCTTGCCAAAACTTCAAGAGTTGCTTCCAAGATTCAACCTTTCTTGTATTTGGGCATCTAGGAGGGTAAGATCTAAGTTCATCTTGTGTTTTTGGTTTTATCTAAGGTGTCTTTTCTTAAAGCTAGGATCTTTATGATCTTTTGGTTTGTTCTTGAAGTTGGTTTGGAAAGTGAGCCTTGTGAGGAGCTTGTTGAGGTGTAAAGTGAAATCTTTAGTCTACAAGAGGTAACCCATGCTCTACAAAACCTATTTTGCTTACCTATATGTGAATATTTCTTGGATTCTACATGTGTTTTGCTATGAAATGTGCGTGTTGATGCATGATCTTGTGAAAATGCATATCTAGAGCTTGTGTTTAGGGTTCTTGTGTGCCATTTCTTGGCATTTCCTTTGATTCAAGTCATTTTGTTGTGTTTGGTGATATTTGGCATGTTTTGGACTTGAATTTGAGTTGGAGATGAAAAATCCGTGAAGTGTTGTTTTTGTGGTACAGGTGGTACCCGTGGGTAGGAGGCCCACCCGCCGCCCACCCGCGGGGTACAATGGTGGAGTAAACCTGTACCCGCGGGCGGAACCGCGGGTAGAGGCCTACCCGTGGGCCCACCCGCGGGTACACAAGTGTGAATGTGGGGGGATTTGTTTCCCGTGATTCTTTTGACTCGGTATTTGGTCTTTTGACTTCCCGATGTTCTTTTGTGGAACTATTTGAGTGTCTTCTTGATGTTTCGTATGTTTAGAACTATATGGTAGGAATCCATGTAGGTTTTGGTGTCTTGAATCATGCTAAGTGTTCAACATTGTGTTTCGTTAAACCATGATGAGTCTTGTGTGTTCTTCGGAACTATCTCTGGTTTACCCGTTTGATGAGCATGCTAGTTTGGTGTTTAAATGCTAGCTTGTGTGTTGTTTGTACCTTCCTATTGGTTGATGATAACTTGTGTTATTCATCGTTGTTGGTGTTGGGCTGTGACCCAATCCTTGATTGAGTATGGTTTCATATCTTCGTTGTGATCCGTTGATTGATTCCTGTTGTGGTGTGATGTGTGCGTGGCTTTACATGGATTGCACGATTAGTGGTATGGGACACTAGTCACCAAGGTATTGCAGCGGTCCTCGTGGTGGCCGTGACGTGATTATGGAGTTGTGGCCTTTGTGTAAGGTTCACGTGATTCTTGGATGGCATGTGTTGCCGTGTGTGTGTACGGTACCCTCGTGTACTATGAAATTGGTGGTCTCGTTGGTGGTCGTTGGTGGGGAACGACGGTCCCAGGAGGGAAAAGGTTGGACTAAGAAGTACAGGGGTCCTGGAGGTAATGGTTGGAAAGAAGATACAAGGTTGGGGGTAGCCATAAGGTTGGAACCGGGCATAAGGAAGGCATATCAACTCGTGATGGGTGATGTCACGAGGGCTTGTGTAGCCATTGTGGTGAGTTCTTCTCTTGTGACGTGTGTAGTCACAAAGGCATGTGTTGCCTTGGCATGTGTTGTCGTTGGGTGAGTCTTATTCCTTTGCGTTGTGCTTCTTGGGTTTTGATCTATTGAGTGATGATAGATCATGCCTTGACTCTTCTTGTGAGTCATGTTGTTCCTTATGGTCTTGGGATGTGTTCCCATGTTGTTGTTGAGAGTGTTGAGTCTTGTATTGACTATGACTCCTGGTTTTTGACTTATATACTTATGTATTCCGTTTTGAAAATGGCTTTACAACTTATATCTTACTTATGTATGTTATTTCACATGTATTGGTGGGTTACCAGCATTATTCGCTGACCGGGCGTCGTCCCATGTTTTATTGTGTTCTTTCAGGTGATGTAGAGGCGAGTGCGCAGTCTAGTGCCTGTTAGCATAGCTTCTCCCATTGGTTTTATGGCCTGTGTGCCGCTTTAGTTATAGACTTTAGAGACTTTTGGATAGTTGTAAACAATGCAGATTCTGCCGTAGCGTTCATCTTTGTTGGTGAACGTGGCATAACACCCCATGACTTGAATTTTTATTTATCCAGTTATCTTTTAGTCTTCCGCTGTGTTTGTTGTTTAGTTGTGTTATCTGCATGTTTTAAGGTTTTTAATTAGCCTGTTTTAGGGGGTGTTACAGTAAATCTAAAGATCCAACTAGGCGGTTTGACTTTGGGGTTTTAATCCTGCCCTAAGTTAAGTAATGGTTAAACTCTAGGAAACATAAGGAAGTTGAACCAAAAACCTTAGAAGGAACTAAGTGTAGCTTGTAGGATTCAAACCTTAGACCTCTCCTTCCCAAACCAAAACCTTAACCATTAAAGCACAAGCGCTTCTTGAAACCTAAAGGATACAAAACCTTCTTAACCCCCATTCCAAATCCCTAAAATCCCAAAATCCCCAAATCAAAAACCCTTCTTCCCTCTTCTTCTTATTCTCTCTCTCCTTCTCTCTCTCTCCCTTTCCCCCACTCAGCCGGCCGAACACCCCAACCCCCGTCCAGACTCCAACCACCACCCATCGCACACCGTCGACCACCCAGCCGACGACTGCCGCGCCCAGCCGCAGCAACACCACCACCCGTCATCAGCCCGGCCAACCACCCGCTGCTACCGCACCCCGCCGAGCAGCCCCACCACCGGCAACCATCGTCGTCGACCGCCAATTGCTCTCACCGAAAAGGAAAAAAAATTCAAAACACCAAAATACTCTATAAATTCCGACAATGTCGAGGAGACCCGCAAATGCCCGTAAAGCGGAATGGAATAATGCCGATTACTTGGTATTGGAAGGTAAAGAACTCAAACCCGAGCAATTTTCTAAGGAATTGAGTGATATGCTTAAGTTTCAAAGTTTATTGGGAGTGTTCTTGGACATAAAATGTGATACTTACCCCGAGTTGGTAAAGGAATTTTATCACCACATGGTGCCCATAAAAAATGGGGACAAGTTGGAAATCACCTCCAAGGTCTGGGATGAGAAAATGGTGTTGAGTGAGGCCCGATTGGCCAAACTCCTAAAATTGCCTACTACGGGCGTATCGGAGTACGACCGTAGTGCTTGGATTTGTACCCGAACCTTGGGGTACAAGGATTATTTGAGTTATTTGTTGGAAAGGGAGGACGGAATCACCATGGCCACGAGGCCAAACAAGAAATTGTTAACCGCCGAGCAAAAGCTCTTGGTGATGATTGTGACGGATAGTCTATTGCCCAACAATAATAAGAGCAAAGATGTTGGGAGCCTTGAGTGTACCTTTGCTTACTTCCTTAAGTATAAGGTTAAGTTCAATTTCACCGCCCTGATGTTGAAACATATGGGGTTCTGCAAATCCAACAATAGGCTAAGCTTGCCCTAGGTATGATCCTAAGTTAGATCATGGTGAAAAAGGGGATAGATATGAGCCAGTCTGAGGCTAAACCAATAGGCGGGATGATATTCAATGCCCAAAACCTCCGTCGCAACAACATTTATCATGTTAGCGAGGGACAATACATCACCCTCGAGGAGGTGAGCAAGAAGCCCGTGGCCGAGGAGAGATTGTAAATGGAACAATTGGGCATCCCAAACAAAAAGATGAAGCAAGTCGTCCAAGAGGACGAAGAACAGGAAGAGCATGAAGAGGAAGACAATGAACCGGGCTACACGGAACCCACTCAGAGGGAGAGGAGAACTGAGGAAAGACATGAAGGAATGTCAACTGATGACCGTATCCTAGCGCAACTCGTAAGGCAAAACCGGATCATGGAGGAGAGATTCGCATCATTGAATGTCATAGTAGGCTCATTGGACCGAAGGGTGTCTGTAATCGAGACCATACTGGGTGTACGCGGAGCCTTAAGTTCGGGAACTGGGAACCAAGGTAATCATATTTTGAACCTTAGTTATCTCCTAACTTGATTTATCATAGTCTTGTGCTTGTTGGGAAACAAAAGTGTATTAAAACTTCCTAATTGAATGCTTTTAAGCCTATGCTATGATGGAATTGAGTGAGTAAGCTAGCTAGCTCGGGAACGAGTTTTAGTTGGTTTGGCGTGGTATAGACCACATGACAAACAACCCTTAGGTTGGTATTCATACCTTGAGTCTTGCCACACAACTTACTTTCCAAACTGCTTGTCTTGTTTGATCGCATTGCGTCCAAGCTTCGAAGACGAAACATCTTGTTATGGGAGAAGAGTGTAACACCCCGTAATTTTGCCCTCTAAACCCGAATTAATTATTTAATTAATTGGTAAGTTTCCCGTCAATATCCTAAATAAATTCCGTTAGGAGTGGTTAAAAGGATTTAATTTGACCCTGGATCCCTTAATTAAATAATGTGGTCCATGATGGACCATGGATCATTGTCCTTAATAAAGCCTTCAAGCCTGTTAAAATAAAGAAAGTGGGCCCCTTTACTATTCAAATTCTCATTAGGATTCCTAAAACTATATAAAGGGGACTAGAAAGCATTTAGAACCCTTTTTCACCCATCTCTCTACCACACGAAATTCACTCCCAAGAACCTAGCCAAAGAAATCCTTGTCTTGTCTACCATTGAAGGATACCAAGTTAGGATTATTCCCCATCACCAAGCTTAGAAGAGGTAAGTAATAAAGATTATATTATGGTTTTATGTTTTGGGTTATAGATCCTATCTAAGTTTTCCCCTTTTTATGTTTGGTGGGTTTTGTTGATATAATGAAGATCAATTGGAAGAGAACCTTGGAGAATAATCTTAGGTGATTGTGAGAAGTTTAATTAGGCAAAGAGGTAACCCATGTCTTACAAAACCTATTTTTCTTTTGATTTATTGGCTTCTTGAATGATGGTATGTGTTATCTTGAAATTATGCCTTGATAGAGCTTGTCTTTAGGGTTTATGTGATGGTTTCTTGATGTTCTTGAACAATTATATATTTATTCTTGTGTCTTGGTATGTTTAGAGATTGTGTTTAGGGTTCAATTGTGTTAATCCTTGGTTCATTCTTGGTGTTTGATGGACAATTTTAATTAGTCCTCGCAAGTGCACGAATCACTATAGTAAGTGTGCCTTGGCAAGGGTCGATCCCACAGGGATTGATACAATGCAACTTAATAGCTTGAAATTAAATTAACTGACTTAACAATTTAATAATGATAAAAACGAAGATCAAAGATAAGAGAATCAACTCAAGTGCAAGATAATTAAATTGAGATTCAAGAAGCTAAATAAATGAATCGTTAGGAACCAAAGAAATCAAATAACAATCAAGATGAGAAGGCCTAGGAACATGAATTAATAACCATTTATGATCAAAGTATAAAACATAATTCAATTGGCAAAATTAATCTTAAATGATTACAAAACATTCATAACAATATCATTCCTAGAAAAACAATTTAACAAAGCAAACTAAAATGTTAAATGAAATTGAGATTAACAACAATTAACCCTAAACACCTTCTAGAGAAAGATTATAAATATTGATTACAGTGCAAAAGCTTTGGAACGCAAGCAGAAGACAAACTCTTCATCAGAACAATATCACCAATAAATTAAGCATAATTAATTCATGATTTTCTTTAGAAGCATAACACAGATTCCAAAGATAGATGTGAAATTAAAAGGTAAAAGGTAGGAAAATGAAGAAAGTAAAAGAATTGCTAATGCCACTATTGCTGCGCCAAAAGATGAATCACACGCCCAGACCTCGCCGCCACCGCAATCAGCAGTACCGACCGAAATTTCTGCCGCCAACGGGTAGTCTTTGTTCACCACCACCGGAATTAGTCCAGGGCAAAAATTGATGATCCCTGATGAGGATTTGGCCTCCCTTTTATAATGCCCAACCTCTATCATACTTCCATGATTCTGATGAAGAATAGCCGCGGAAATCCTAAACTAATGAAAACCATCGAACTCGTTCAAATCTTCCACCATTGAATCAGATCGCTTGAAGAACTGTAAGTGTACGAATTAGTACACATTAAATTGGCTAATTTATTAGTTTATTTTATTAATATGTAATGTTAATTAGCATGTATTGTAATTAGTTTTTTGGACCAAGCTAAAATAAGTGGTGGAGATTTATTGTTAAAGAAGTTGGACAAAGAGCAAGTCTGAAGATCTCAAGTTAAAAGAAGATGTGGTTGAGAAGATTTCAAGCCACATGTGAAGCTATAATCAAGGCATGGTTAAATGGAAGCTACGTGCAGTATTTAAGGAAGGGAAAATGAAAGAGGAAGTTGCCAATTCTGAAATTCTGAATCCATACGCAAGATTCCTACATTATTGCTTTAATATTGATTATATTATTTGTGATCTAAATCTGTACTACAAATCAGTACCTGTGACAGCTGAAGTGCTACACCAAAGGTGGTTATGGTATGCACGGTTCAGTCCTGAGTAGGTGTTTTAGAAGAGTTGTAGTGGTAAAGGCTGTGAGCCGTTTGTAGTTACCTCTTGTAATACTCTATGGTGAACATCTAGTGGATTGGGCAGACGTGGGTTGCCCCGCAGACGTAGGAGAAGGAGCTCCGAACTGCGTAACAATTCTACTGTGTCTTTACTTTGTTTATGCTTTCAATTTCGTTATTTATATGTTGCTTAAATTGAATTAATTAAACAGCGAAATTGTCTCGTAACATAAAATCAAGTAGAATCCTTAGTGTAAAATTGATTTCAAGATACACGGGCTTTTTCAATTGGTATCAAAGCCTCCAGACTTAAGTTATTAGTCTGACGATCTGGCTACTCCGTGCCCCTTGATCTCAATTCTTCAGCGGCTATTATTATTATTATTTCTTATTTTGTTAAATTGTTCAATCTCACGGGTTATTGAGTGTTACAGAATAGAGCACACTAAAGCTCTTCCCCAGCTAGTCGGTGACAACTACGCATATTGGAAGGTGCGCACATGCACCCATCTCAAAGCACAAGGTGAAGCCGTATGGTGTATCATTGTAACAAGCTGGGTACACCCAACTAAATCCAGTACCAGTGACGATGCAACTCAAGTGACGAAACCTGAGAATGAATGGACCCAAGCTGAGAAAACAAGTGCTGGATACAACGATAAGGCACTAGATATTATTTATGGGCTAATTCATGAAAGTCAGTTCCCTATTATTGCAGGCCATGATTCAGCTAAAGGCGCATGGGAAGCACTAGAGGCTACCTATGAAGGTACATCATCGGTAAAACAGTCGAAACTGCAACTGGTACAGTCTGACTTCGAGGAGCTCCGGATGAATGAAGATGAAACCATCGTGACCTTCCACACTCGTGTGCAAGAGCTAGAAAATCGAGCTATGGTCCTCGGAGAACCGTTCACTCAAGAACAGTTTGTGAAAAAAATTCTACGATCACTACCACCTCGGTTTCGGATGAAAGTTACAGCAATCCAGGAACATGACAACTGGGAGAAAGAGACTGTAACACAACTAATGGGGAATCTAAGAACTTATGAGATGGAAATCTTAACAGATCACACAAAAAAACCAAAAACAGTAGCTTTTACTGCTGAAGAAAATAATTGTACACCTGATTTATATGAAATAGGTGATGATCCAGTTGTATTCCTAACTAAACAGTTTTCTAAACTTCTGAAACAGGTGTCAAAAGGTTCACGCAACAAGAACATGCAAAAGGGAGCGTCATCATCCAAAACAACTTCGAAATCAGGATCATCAACCTACAAGCCTCCTGGTTCACGTCCAAGTCAGTCCAAAGAAAAGCCAAACAGTAAAGGGATCAGATGCTATGAATGTGAGGGCTTCGGACATGTTCAAGCAGAATGCCCCACCTACCTTCGACGCAAGAAGTCTATGTCAGCAGTCACTTGGAGTGATGATGACTCAGACGGTGAAACAGGAGGATCTGATCCAGACGAAATTTCTGGTAATTTCGTTGCTTTTACTGCACATACGACTACTGGACCATGTCACGAAGAGGTTGCTGACTCGGAGGGAGGTGAGTATAATTCTGCAGAAGATTTAGAGTCAAGTGAATCATCATTTGAAATTGAGTTTAATAAATTGTATCCCAAATGGGCAGCACTAAGGAAAGAAAATCGTAGATTAACTAGTGAAATAGGGATTGTAACAACTGCAAAGAAAGTGTATCAAACTCAAGTCGTTGATAGGGATCTGCTTCTTAAAGAGGCATTAGCCCGAGAAGAAAAACTGAAACAAGAAGTACAGACTCTGAAGCAGGAGCTGAGCACCTACAAACGCCAAATTCAAATGATGGATACCACGTCTACACTTGACGAGATTCTTGAGTCTGGAAGGAAGACTTCTACAAAGTTTGGTCTTGGTTTCACAGGAAACAGCTCAAAGGATAAAACAGTGTTTATTAAAGCGTCAGGCCCTGGTCAAGGAGATATCCCAGAATCTAGCACGGCGACACGACAAGTTGGTACAGTAAGATTACTCAAGCCATATTATAAATCCTATAACCCGGTATGCCATTATTGCAGGTTACGGGGTCATACAAGACCGGAATTCTACTACTTCTACAAGGATCAAAGAATCGAAAAGTTCAAACATAAAAACATCCAACCCTTTACAAAACAAATCTGGGTTAAAAAGTCAGATTATATCTCATTCGTATCTTTCCACTCTAAAAGTACAGGCCGAGAAGACAAATGGTACTTCGATAGCGGGTGTTCACGTCACATGACAGGAAATGCTAATTTTCTGAGTAACGTAAACACAAGCAAAGGTGAAGTTACCTTTGGCGATGGTATAAAAGGACAAGTCACTGGTATAGGCACGCTAAACGTAGTTGGTCTACCAAAATTGGAGAAAGTTCTACTAGTCAAGGGACTTCATGCAAATCTTATAAGCATAAGTCAACTTTGTGACCAAAACTGGAACGTGAGCTTCACCAAAAATAGCTGCAGTGTCCTAGACAAAACAAATCAATGTGTTATGGAAGGTACAAGGTCAACTGATAATTGCTATATTCTCACTAACAATGTTTTGTGTTGCAGGATCAACGTAGATGAAACCGAGCTTTGGCACCAAAAGCTAGGACATCTAAGTTACAGACTTCTTGACAAACTTGTGAAGATTGAAGGTGTTCGTGGATTACCCAAACTAAAAGTCAAACCAACCATATGTGGTGCATGTCAAGCAGGGAAGCAAACCAAATCCTCTCATCCAGCTCAGCACACCATAAACACAAGTTACTGCCTGGAGCTGATCCACATGGATCTCATTGGTCCAACTCAAACAGAAAGTGTTGGAGGTAAGAAATTCATACTCGTTTGTGTAGATGATTATTCTCGTTTTTCTTAGGTTACCTTTCTCATGGACAAGTCTGAGACCCTTGAAGCCTTCAAAACTCTGGCTTTAAAACTCCAAAAAGAAAGAAATGAGCCCATCATTCGAATCCGAAGCGATCACGGACGACAATTCGACAACAATCTATTCGATACCTTCTGCAACCAAACAGGAATCACACATGAATACTCAGCACCGAAAACACCTCAACAAAACGGAGTTGTTGAACGCAAGAACCGCACAATTCAAGAAATGGGACGAGTTCTGCTCAATGCCAAAGGACTACCTCAAAAATTTTGGGCAGAAGCTGTGAACACTGCATATCACATCATCAATCGGGTCTATCTACGTCCAGGCACGAATCAGACTCCGTATACATTATGGAAAGGTAAGAAACCAAACATCAAATATTTTCATGTTTTTGGGTCACGCTGTTTTATCTTGAAGGATCGAAACCGTGTCGCAAAGTTTGAAACAAAAAGCGATGAAGGCATCTTCCTCGGCTATGCAACGAACAGCAGGGCATATCGTGTTTACAACAAAGTTACCAAAACCATTATGGAGTCCACAAATGTTGTAATCGATGATCAACCGAGTGATATTATCACAACGACTCAGCCTGGACCAGTGACAGAACCTGACACAAGTTGTCCTGAACCTAATCCAGAGTCTCCTATGCCATCTCCCACGTCAACTCAACCTGATCAAGAAACTGAGTCTGAGTCAGAATCTGACACTGATCATAGTGATATTGATATCCCTACTCGCATCCAGAAAGCTCATCCAATACAAAACGTAATTGGAGATCCTAGTTCTGGCGTAAAAACCAGAGGTAAACCGAAACGTGATTACCTTCAATTAGCAGGATACTCTTGTTATACTTCGCAGATCGAACCGAAGAATGTCAAAGAAGCCCTAACAGACGAACACTGGATCAAGGCCATGCAAGAAGAACTGGGGCAGTTCGAACGGAATAAGGTATGGTCTCTAATTCCTAAACCTGACACTGTTAATGTTGTAGGTACCAAATGGATCTTTGCAACAAAACCGATGCTGCTGGCAACATAGCTAGAAATAAAGCGCGGCTTGTGACTCAAGGCTACTCCCAAATCGAAGGAATCGACTACGATGAAACATTTGCCCCTGTTGCACGGCTAGAGTCAATACGACTCCTTCTATCGATTGCCTGTGCCCTAAAATTCAAGTTGTTTCAGATGGACGTTAAAACAGCCTTCTTAAACGGTTACCTCTCAGAAGATATATACGTTGCTCAACCTAAAGGGTTTGAAGATCCACATCATCCAGATTATGTCTACAAATTACAAAAAGCTCTCTATGGCTTAAAACAGGCCCCAAAAGCCTGGTATGAGAGACTCACTCAATACCTTCTTCAGAACAACTACAAAAGAGGAGGATCAGACAAAACATTATTTATAAAGCGGTCAGGTAAACACATAACAATTGCTCAAGTGTATGTAGATGATATCGTTTTTGGATCCACACAACCAGGAGAGACAGACCAGCTAGTCAAGGTAATGCAACAGGAGTTTGAAATGAGCATGATAGGCGAACTCACCTATTTTCTTGGATTACAAGTAAGTCAAACTAAAGAAGGGATTTTTATTTCACAAGAAAAATACGCGAAAAATCTTCTATCAAAGTTTGGGCTTGAATCTGCAAAAGATGCTCGTACGCCTATCTCCACGACTACTAAATTGTTCAAAGATGAAAAAGGAACGTCTGTAGACCCGACTATGTACAGGAGTATGATAGGCAGTCTATTATACTTAACCGCCAGTCGTCCTGATATTATGGTAAGTGTTGGTATGTGTGCACGCTATCAAGCCGATCCAAAAGAGTCACACCTAAAGGCAGTAAAACGTATTATAAAATACGTTAAAGGTACGATAAATTATGGTATTTGGTACTCGAGCGATACTAATCTGAATCTTGCAGGATATAGTGATGCTGACTGGGCAGGAAATGCTGACGACAGAAAAAGTACATCAGGCGGATGTTTCTTTATCGGAAAAAATTTAGTCGCCTGGCTAAGTAAAAAGCAAAACTCGATTTCACTTAGCACAGCTGAAGCTGAGTATATAGCGGCGGGTAGTTGTTGTACACAATTACTCTGGATGCGCCAGATGTTAATAGACTACGGTATAGAACAACAAAGTATGACATTGTTCTGTGACAACACCAGCGCAATCAACATTTCTAAAAATCCAGTTCAACACTCCAGGACGAAACACATAGATATTCGACACCACTTTATTCGTGAACTAGTCGAGGAAAAAGAAATTATAATGGAGTATACCTCAACAGATAAAAATCTTGCAGACCTATTTACCAAGCCTTTAGACAAATCGAGATTTGAACTGCTTAGAGCTGCCCTTGGAGTGTGCAATCCCACAGCTTAATCTCTCTCATCAGGTATAACAAATAAATTCTAATTATTTTTTTAACGTGGTTGTTGATTTTTTTTGTTGCAGGAAAAATAAAATTCTAAAAATTAAATCCTATTTCCTTTTTAATTTCCTCACCTTTTATCTTTTTTTAGCTAAATCACAATTAAGGATCCTATATCTAAATGTTTCCTTACCCGGCTCTATCTACAAAACTAAGATGTGGACTAAAATACCAATGTAAACCAACTTCAACCTCTCTCTCCTATTATAACTCTACTTTCTAGCCTTACCATCTAGTCAAATCCTTCCTCTTCTTTCACGGCTTTTGAGACCCATCACTTCACCATCATATATCAACAAATTAATGCATTGTCTTTATATCTCTCTTACCCATCACCACCGTCACTCTCATCTTCATCTTTCGAGCTTCTTTCGCAAATCTCTCCAACAATGGAAGAAGATAATCCCTTTGCAATCTTCACCACAAAATCAGAAAGATTGGAACTCCTCCGGCATATTATTGACGCTGATTCTCCCCTCACACCTGATGCCACCGATCTAGTTCTTGCCACGGTTAAGACACATGAGAGTCTCCTAGAAGGTCTTTCGGACAAAGAAACTAGGCAAATCAAAGCTCTCTCTCGATTCATCTCAGCCGAGCCATGGACTATTCAGGAGGATCCATCCAAACTGTCTCCATCTCAACAGGAGAAAATGCATGTCCCCTCTCCGGATAATACGGTAGTGTCCTCACCTTTAAATGCAAATGTTTCAGCTTCTAGAAAATTAGATTTTAACTTTTCCTTGCCAAATCAGTTTGTGTCTATCTCCAGTGATATGAATGCCCCTTCCTTTCCTTTACAAAATGATCCGTATGATTCTTCAAATCAATTGCCTGAAAATCTTGTTTCCTTATCTGATTTTTTGCATACTGTGACCTCTCCATTCTCCATTCGAAATATCAACCAATTTGTGTCTCCTATGACTTGTGCTGCTTTTTCTATCCCCATAACTTTACCTGTCCTATCTTCAACAATAGAGGTTCCCATTCCAGTATCCACCTCCCATGACACTGTCCCTATCATCTCTGTGCCCGTGAGCAAATCTTCCCAAAAAGGGAAAGAAAAACTTAGTGTTTCAGGTACAGCCGGGAAAAGAAAAATTGGAGCATTGGAGGATGTTGTCTGCTTGTCTGATTCCAAGCAATCAAAGAAAGGGCCCACATTGCCACCCAGAATGACTCGGTCTAGATCTGTTTCAGTCCCTGTACCAAGTCCGGCCCCTGCACCAGCACCTGCTGCTGTTCTGTCTGGCTCAAAGAAGAAACAACCCAAGAAGACTTATCATCCTATTTTACTGTCTCAAGATTTGATGTCCGACTGGAGGGTTCATACTACAAGGGATTTTATTCTGGAAAAATCCATCAATGTGGAGGAGCTGACAGAAAAATGCAACATTGTGCCTATTTTGCGTGATCAGTTTCTGCTTGCCTCACTTGTACATGTTGGCCCGTATTCCAGATGGCTCACTGCCGAGTTCTACACAAATTTAACATTGGATACGTTTTCGGAGGGGTCTCCACGATTTCAACAAGTCTTCATTCGGGATAAATGGTATCCCTTAAGTCCTGCCGTGATTAATTCATATTTGGGTACTCCGAATCATCAAGCTGCTCCTGACCCAAGTCCTAATCTCCAAGCCGCTGCATTAACTCACAACAAAATTGTCACTTGGCCTAACTCCGGACTTGAAAGCCTAAAGCTCACCACGGTCTACTCTGTTCTTCTCCGGATTGCCTCAACTAATTGGATGCCGGCTGTGCGTCATCATCTTGTCTCTGACCAGCTTGCTGCCCTCCTTTACAAAATCAGAAACCACCTTCCCTTCAATCTCGGAGAAATCATTTTTGGTCATCTTGCTCAATTCGTGCGACATAGGGAACCTAAGGTACATCTACCGTTTCCCAGTCTCATTTTTGGACATCTACATGACCATGGGTTCAAGCCATACAAAGATGAGGAGGTAGTTGCTAATGCCTCAGTTTATAAGTATGATGATCGGTTGACAAATAAGGATCACTATGATGATAGAGCTACTCTGTTGATCACTCCCGGTGCACCAACTGCCACGCCCTCTGTGTCTGCCCCTGCATCATCTGCTGAAACTGCCTCCGCACCAAATCCCCGTCCTACGACAGTGTTCAAGGAACCTCAAACACTCATGGATCGCCGTCAAATTGTTCTCACTCTTCAAGCGTCAATTGCTCAAATTCGCACATCGGTTGCTTCTCAACAAATTACCATTGATGGCTTAGAGAATTTGTTGGGTGCTCAATTGGAAGAAATAGCCAGAATTGAGGCCATCTATGCTCGACTTCGAACTAATACTGGCGCTGGCACTGGTTCTATTTCTGAGAGTGATGAATCTGAATCGGGTACCCCGTCTGCAAGTTAATCCAATCCACTAGTATGATGTTCACCAGGTTGTTTGTCATTTATTTGGCAAAAACAAAGGGGGAGTATTGGAGAAAGGGGGAGTATGGGAATTTTTTTGGTAATGTTTGGTAAGTTTTTGGTTGGCTTTTGGTATGGATGTTAATAAATTTGGTATGGATTGTTATGAATGACTTAAGTATGAATATCTATGGTATTTTTGGTATGTTGACTGCATGGTAAGAATTGGTTTCAATTGGGATGCACCTGAAGGACAGAAAGCTTCAAGTTAGGGGGAGTAATTCAAATTACAATATGGAAAGCGTGACATATATGGTATGTTTGATACAACACTAATTTGTGCATGATTCACTATTCATTAATTGAATGAAGCATGAGAGTCGACATCAACTAAGGTCCAAAATAAAATCTCACACACAAATAAACCTTGGTCAGGTCCTAAGAGTTTTAAAATTGCATATTTATTTTTTTGTCATGTTCAGTACGTATACTATGGGATGTTAATAAAATATTTCGTTTCTTTTTCCCAAAGTATAATGATACTATTGTTTTACCAAATAAATTGCCAAAGGGGGAGATTGTAAGTGTACGAATTAGTACACATTAAATTGGCTAATTTATTAGTTTATTTTATTAATATGTAATGTTAATTAGCATGTATTGTAATTAGTTTTTTGGACCAAGCTAAAATAAGTGGTGGAGATTTATTGTTAAAGAAGTTGGACAAAGAGCAAGTCTGAAGATCTCAAGTTAAAAGAATATGTGGTTGAGAAGATTTCAAGCCACATGTGAAGCTATAATCAAGGCATGGTTAAATGGAAGCTACGTGCAGTATTTAAGGAAGGGAAAATGAAAGAAGAAGTTGCCAATTCTGAAATTCTGAATCCATACGCAAGCTTCCTACATTATTGCTTTAATATTGATTATATTATTTGTGATCTAAATCTGTAATACAAATCAGTACCTGTGACAGCTGAAGTGCTACACCAAAGGTGGTTATGGCATGCACGGTTCAGTCCTGAGTAGGTGTTTTAGAAGAGTTGTAGTGGTAAAGGGTGTGAGCCGTTTGTAGTTACCTCTTGTAATACTCTGTGGTGAACATCTAGTGGATTGGGCAGACGTGGGTTGCCCCGCAGACGTAGGAGAAGGAGCTCCGAACTGCGTAACAATTCTACTGTGTCTTTACTTTGTTTATGCTTTCAATTTCGTTATTTATATGTTGCTTAAATTGAATTAATTAAACAGCGAAATTGTCTCGTAACATAAAATCAAGTAGAATCCTTAGTGTAAAATTGATTTCAAGATACACGGGCTTTTTCAAGAACGCTATCCGAAAGTCTTAATCAAGATTGCGATCAAGAACCTGCGCCTCTTTCTCTCGTTTGTCGGCTCTGTTTTGACGGAGTATTATTTGGGATTTTGGGATGATGATAATAATGATAATAATGATAATGATAATAATGATAATGATAATGATGATGGTGATGGTGATGGTGACGGTGATGGTGATGGTGATGGTGATGGTGATGATGATGGTGATGATCATAATCATAATAATCATAATCATAATCATAATCATAATCATAATCATAATAATAATAATAATAATAATAATAATAATAATAATAATAATAATAATAATAATAATACTAATCATAATAATCATAATAATCATAATAAAATTAGGATCAATGAGTTATTGGACTGAAAAAAATCAAATAATAAAGAACAAATTACACTTTTGGTCCAGTGACTATAGGGGGCGTGTTAATTTCAGTACTTAACTTTCAAAACTAAAAATTTAGTCCCGTAACTATGCAATTTTTAACACATTTGGTCCTGCCGGCCAAATGTTGCCGGAAAAACTCAAACCATTTTTAACTATTTAATCAGAGGGGCAAATTAGTCATTTCAAACCACCTCCTTCTCCATTCAACATACTCGCCGACTGATTTGCATAGGAAACAGCAACCCATATCTTCGAATCACCGGCCAAACCCATGTTAATGGTAAATCATCACAGATTAATGAAATTATACACTGATTCTTTCGGATTCGTTCACGGAGGAAGAATTCACCGTGAAGTTGCCATCGCCGCCATTCACAGAGGAAGAATTCTCCCAAGGTCACCCAGAGCATCAAAAACACCAAGACGAAGCTTCAAATCACAGAGGTTATGGAATTCTCCCGTGGTCAACCAGAGCATAAAAAACGTTCACAGAGGTCTTCACTGTTTTTTCCTTCTGCGAAACACTATGCAAAGATCTTCACCGTTTCAATGTTGTCCATGACGACGACAGCGAGGCAGGCGAAAGAGGACAACTGCGATATGTGCTGAGAAGCCGTGTGATTTTTTTTTTTTTACTGTGGTTTTCAATGAAAGATGAAATGCTAAATATGTTTCAACTTTCAAAGCTTGCGATTGTTAGATTGGTGGGATTAGAGGTAGTGTAACTCAATCGGCCGTTGCTGCAACTCTTTGCAAGAAGGAAGAAGAAGGGAGAGCTGAAATGACCAATTTGCACTCATAATTAAATAATTAAAAATAGTTTATATTTTTCCGGCCAAATTTCGTCGGTGATTTGACCGGAAGGACCAAATCTGCTAAAAAAATCATAGTTAAAGGACTAAATTGTTAGTTTTAAAAGTCATGGACTGAAATTAACATGCCCCCTATAGTCATAGGACCAAAAGTGTAATTTGCTCAATAATAAAATAAATTTAATAAGTAAAACAACGTAAAATTGAATAATATTAATAAAGCTACTAATCACAATAATAAATAAAATAGATATGAAATTAATCAATTATTGTAAATTAACTATAAAAATATTATAAAAAATAACACTAAAAATAATGTTTATCAGCGTTCAAGTCCCTATTATTATTGATGTATGTTTGGGTGTATTTGGACTTGATTTTGGGTCAAATTGATGAATTCCCGGGATGGGAAAAATGCCAAGAATATTTGTTCCAGGGGGTAGTCGGTGGGGGGACGAACCCGCACCCGACCACCCGCCGAAAACGGCCACTGCTGGAAATTATGGAATTTACGACCACCTGAAAGTGATCTTAAATCAAGTCAAATGCCCTGTTCCAACCACTTTTGGTATCCGGAAAAACCTTTGTTTCTATTTTCGACCACTTTTTGCTTTCGACTTGATTTAATATCACTTTCAGGTGGTCAGAAATTCTATAATTTCCAGCAGTGGGCGTGCCATTCCAGCGGGCCGCCAGTGGGTGGACGACCACCCGCTGGAATGGGCAGCCCGCCGGCGGGTGGTTGACCACCCGCCGTACCGCCCTCTGGTACGGGCGGTGCGGTGTGTTGTTTGTCCTCGTTGGTCGATTCCCCGTGCCCCGATGTGTCTCCTTTGATGTTTGTAAGTCTAGAATGTTGTCCTAAGTACCATAATATGATTTGTGATTCTTGATTATTGCATGTGGTGTAACCTTGTATCCCATTGGTCCAAAGTATGGTTTGCATGTTCCCTTGTGAGTCTTGTGGTTGTCTTGTTGTCATTGGAAGTAAAGTCTAGGATGTTCCCCATGAGTCACGTGGTTGAATTGATGTCAATTGTTGATAAGAGTTCGTACATTTGTTGTACCCTTCCCTTGATTACCCCTTGACGACGTTGTTGTTGAGTATTGAATATTGAGTTAATACTCAAAATTGTCCTCGACTATAGTGGTTTTTCCCAATTTTGTCCTAAACGACTTTGGTGTCCTAAACTTGTCCCAGACTTTTGTGTTATTACTCAAAATTGTCCTCCGTTATCTAATCCATCAAATGGGTGTTAAGTATAGGGTTAAATATGTAATTTTAATTTTGGTCTTCTAGTCTTCTTATTTCACCGCGCCAACAGGTTAAAAAAAATTGACAGAGAATTCCCAACCTTGCGACTGCGGTCTGCTCAAGCAATAATTCCCCAGAAATTCGCCAAGTAAATTCGTCAGTCTGTGTTTATCAAATTCGTCAATCTCTGCTTATCAATTTCGCCAAGTAAAGAAGCAAAGCAAATTTCTTCCCTACATTGCAATGGATTCAAGACAACGGAAAAGGGGCGAATGCACTCCGAAATATGGTAAGAATTTTGGTTTCTGTGAGCTTATATATGAATATGTATGTACTATCATAGCATAAATTATTAATCAATGAATTTATTGTGGAAAGTGAAGCATAAATTAACGCATATGTACGTAATTATGTTTAAAGTAAAAGTAGTGCACTTCAAAATTTTCATAGTTATGCATTGACAGTGAGAATGATGCCAAATTTACATGATTACAAATGACAATAACACATGCGTGTTTCATTCAATTGCAATGTAGGGACCACATCTATTGGAATATACTGTCAAATTTGTGTGAATGAGCAGTGTAAAGCATATATATGTTGTAATGTTGGGACCGCATGTCTCCATATTTATGTATTGTGTCTATATTTGTATTGTATTAAATGTACTGTGTCTTGAAACAGGTGAAGAAAATGAATATTTTACACTTATGTTGAGACATGGTGGGAGGATTAATCATGGACCAAATCACAATATGTAGGTGGGTGCACAGACTATTGGGACTATATGTCGGTTGATGAGTGGGGGATGATTACTCTAAGAGAAAAAGTAGAGGAGTTAGGGTATGATCCTCTACAAACAAAATTGCTTAGCAATGGTATTGGTGGTTTGTTTGAGTTACATTCAGATAGTGAGATATGGCCTTTAGTTAACTCTCTTTGTGTTGGTAAGCCTAGAGAGTTGGAGATATGGGTAGTAAAGTCAGAGTTCATAGAAGCATCTAACATAGGAAGTGATATTGAAGAACATGATGTGGAGTCTAACGCTGATGGAAGGATGAGGATTATGAGGATGAAGTGTTAGAAGAATTTTATGACTCTGATTATGATTTGGTTGAAGGGAAGAAAGATGATAGAGAGTTTGATAAATATGTTGATGTAACAGTGGAATATGGTGGTGTACAAACAAGTCCAGTGGTTGAACATGGAGTAGAGGGTGCTAATGAAGTTAATGATGGAGTAGAGGGTGCTATAGTAGTTGCTGATGGATTAGATTTATCTGATGAAAATGTAGCCAGTGATGGTGAGAATGATGAACACAAGTGGCTTATTTTTAGAGCAAAAACTGACATGGAAAACCCCATCTTTTGCATAGGATTAACCTTTGCTAGTAGAGAAGAATTTAAAGAAGCTATACAGAATTATGGGATTAAGAATGGGAAAGATCTGAAATTTGAAAAGATTGACAAATTAAGAGTAACAGTGAGCTGCAAACAAGAAGGCTGCCCTTGGAGAATCAACTGCAGAAAGTTAAAGAACACATTCACATGGAGAGTTTTAAGTTATAATGAGAAGCATGAAGGTTGTGGGTGGGTATACGAGAACAATATGATCACTGCAACCAAGGCTGCTAAAAGATGGAAAAATGAAATTAGGCACAAAAGTGATTGGAACATTGTGGAGTTTCAAAGTAAGGTTAAAGCTGATGACAAATTCAGTCTAACAATTAGACAATGTTATAAAGCAATGACACTAGCATGGGGTGACATAAAGGGTGAACAAGAGGAACAATTTAAAAAGTTGTGGAGCTACTATCATGAAATTCAAAAAACTAACCCTATGTCAAATTGCATTGTAAAACCAAGTGAATATGAGGAACCTGGAGGCAAAAAAAAAAAAAGATTTTTGAGGTTTTACATGTGTTGGGAGGCATGTATGGAAGGTCATAAATATTGTAGGCCTATTATAGGATTTGATGGGTGTCACTTAAAGGCAAAAACTGGGGGCCAAATACTGACAGCTGTTGGGATAGATCCAAATGACAGCATTTTTCCTTTGGCTTATGCAATTGTTGAAGGGGAAAACAAAGAATCTTGGACTTGGTTTTTGAAACTACTTAAGAAAGACTTGGACTTGGTGAATCACAATAACTTGACTTTAATTTCAGACAAACAAAAAGGGTTAATCCCTGCATTTGAAGAAGTGTTTCCAGAAGCTATTCACAGATTTTGTGTGAGGCACTTATATGGTAACCTCAGGGTAGCAGGGTTCCAGGGCAAAGCAATTAAAGATGCTCTCTGGACAGCAGCTAGAGCAACAACTGTGAATACCTTCACTAGAGCAATGAGGAATATTCATCAATTAGATGTAGATGCATTTCAATGGTTATCTGACAAGCACCCAAGTGAATGGTCAAGGTCTCATTTTACTACTTCTGCACAATGTGATGTTTTGGTCAATAATATATGTGAGTCCTTTAATGCAATGATTTTGAATGCAAGGAAGTTGCCACTTATACCATGCCTTGAGCTTTGAGAAATCACTTAATGCCTAGGTTCTTCAACAATAGAAAGAAAGCTGCTAATGAATGGAAGTCTACAATATGTCCTAGAATTATGGAGAAAATTGCAGTTAATGAAGAGGCAGCTGCAAGTTATTTATGTACTCAATGTGATGAGGATTTGTTTGAAGTTAGAGGGATGTGGGAGGATGGTCAGCAAGTTGATTTGAGAAAAAGGTCATGTAGTTGCAGAAGATGGGAATTAACAGGAATTCCTTGCAAGCATGCAATTAGGGCAATTTGGTTGAAGAAATTACAAGTCATCAACTTTGTTAGCCCAATGTATTCTACAGAATGTTATTTGAAAGCTTATGCAGGTTCTATTAACCCTATGGCTGGGCCAGATGAGTGGCCAATTACAGATATAGAACCACTACTACCCCCATTGTACACATCATGTAAGGCAGGTAGACCAAGAAAATTAAGGAAAAAAAGTGCAGGAGAAGTAAGCAAAGCACCAAGAAATTTGACAACAGTGCAAAGGAGTAAAATAAAACTGCATTGTACCAAATGTAAGCAGCCAGGCCATAATGCAAGGAGGTGTCCAACAGATCCTGTCATCAAAGAAAGATTGGTAAGTTCTCAATAAATTCCTAAACTGTATTTAATTCTTTATTGTTTATTACTGTTGGTAAAATCAAACTGCATTCTTTATTGTTTATTACTGTTTGTAGCTCAATCCAAAGAAGAGGATTAGAACAAAGAAAAATTCTCAACCAGTGAGAGAAGCAGCCAATGAACTAGTGGTAGAAGTAGTTAGAGAAGAAGTGAATGAACCAGTGAGAGCAGTTGTGTTTGAACCAGTGGTAGAAGCAGCCAATGAGCCAGCGATAGAAGCCAGCCAATGAACCCGTGATAGAAGCAGAAGTGATTGCAGTTATGGAAATCAGGATGAACCATTAGAAATTGATTAAGTAGTTGTATTTTGTGTAAGAGACCCTTATATTGTTATGCTAGAATTATATAGGGCTCTTTATATTGTTTTGATAAACAATGAGATTAGTCATCTCAATGCTATAACAGTAATGAATATTTGTGTTTTGCATATTAGGTTCTAGTAGTAATGAATTTCTCCACTGAATGAATTTACTACACTTTATTGTGTCTGAATTTACTGTTGTTTGTTCCAATCTTTGAATGTACTGCTGCAATCTCTCTACTTTAGCTTGTTTCATATAAGGTTGTTCTGTTCTACGGATTACACAGGTTGTTTTGCAGAAAATTTACTCTGTGTCTAATTTACTACTGAATTTACAGGGTTATTTTGTTCTGTAATTGTACCATAGTGGTTTGCAGTAATGATCTGACATTAGAACTACAAATGCAAATCACATTATATAAACTGCAAACATTCTGCAAATGACTTAAAGTTCACATATATATTAATATGCCTGCTGCAAATCAACTTACATTAATTCAATCTAAGTTGAGTAAAACTAGTCTTTTTTTCTCCAAAACTCCCTACCCCTATTACAAGTTGAATATATATCATAGCACACAACACTAATACCACTACCAACACAAATTTCACATTACACTAGGAGTTATTGACAGCTTCTTGAATCCTTTTATTTGGAGCTAGCTTTTTCTTGTCAACCCTCTTTTCTTTCTTGGAATCTGCTCGCTTTTTGTTCTTCACAGGATCTGGCTTACCACTTCTGTCATTGAAGGGGTCCTCAACTAAAAGCTTTAATCCCAAGTTAGCTGTAATCTGCTGTGAGATTCAATTTCCATTTTCCACTTCCAACTCTCATTAGCACAAGCTCATATTTAAACCCCAGCACTAGCACGTTCACAATAAATTCATTAAATACTAATTTATGCTTTGGCAGTACATACATATTCATATATAAGCTCACACAAACCAAAGTTCTTACCATATTTCGGAGCGCATTCGCCCCTTTTCCGTCGTCTTGAATCCATTGCTATGTAGGGAAGAAATTTGCTTTGCTTCCTTAGGGTTTTCTTTGGGCGAATTTACCTGGCAAAATTGATAAACCCATGAACACAGAAAGACGAAATTGATAAATAGAGATTGACGAATTTGATAAACACATATTGAAGAATTTATTTGGCGAATTTCTGGGGAATTATTGCTTGAGCAGAGCAGTCGCAAGGTTGGAAATTCTTGATCAAAATATATTTTACCCTGTTGTTGGCGCGGTGAAATAAGAAGACTAGAAGACCAAAATTAAAATTACATATTTAACCCTATACTTAACATCCATTTGACGGATTAGATAACGGAGGACAATTTTGAGTAATAACACAAAAGTCTGGGACAAGTTTAGGACACCAAAGTCGTTTAGGACAAAATTGGGAAAAATCACTATAGTCGAGGACAATTTTGAGTATTAACTCATTGAATATTGTATTGTTGTCCTTGGTGTTGAATGATATGAGATTGGCGGTATAAAAATAG